TTTAAAGTTTAGGTGTTAGATATGTAAATACATATTGATTGTATGGTATGTACTTTAACGCCCCTTTAAGATATAGAGGCCTAGATTCAAGCATAAATTTTAAAACCTCTCATCCTCTTTAGGGTTGCATAGCCTTTTGCTATAATCTCCATAGAAGAATTATAATTCATATTGTAGTTAACAGTTGTATATGTGTTTATCCTTAAAATTTATGATAATCAACTTAAATAAATTATTAAAATCTCTCTAAATAAAACCACACTTAGATTTCATACAATACTTGGACTGAAAGCTAATTTAAAATATTAAAGCTTAAATAAAAAAAAAAGGTTTTGACTCATCTAATCCTCTATAGAGTTGCACAGCCTTATACTATACAACTATAGAGTAATTAGTTTTCACAGCTCATGCAACCACTACTAGTCATAAACATGACTTAGTAGTATCATCATAACTTTGTTCTAATAAACCCCACCAGTAAGAAGGTCTGCATTATAAATTTCAGCTTGTAAAAACAGAAAAATTAGCCAACTAATAGAAGTCAACATATAAAAAGGACAAATAACACAAAATTACATCACTAAAATTGAGCAGTAGTTTCAGACCTAAAAAATCCAGCTATTCAAGAGGATCTGCAGCATAAAATTTTATTTGCATGAGCCAAGAAACTTAAAAAAACTATCCAAACTTCAAACTAAAAAAATCAAAATCCTGAACTCTTTTATCATATCAATAATCCAGTGATTTCAGGGCAAGATATTCCTATTCAAGTAACTATTGTTAAAAAATTAAACAAACACAATTAAAATGTTTATTAGCTGAACAAAGCATTATAACTGTAAAAAATGTGTTTAAGGAGGGCATTATTAACTATCTTTCAACATGTTTACTGTATTTGTTATAATTTGCTACACCCATTACTCTTACTTTAGCATTCAATGCAGATTTTGTTTCAACTGTGGTTATATGAACTGTGAAAATGTCCCAAACCATTTTAGACAAACAGGGATGCTTGAATTTATCCGACTTCTACCATCCTAGAACATCAAATTAATCATTGTTGCACAAATATAAATTATCTTCAAGATAAATTGCAATTTTGATTTGAAAGACAGCACAGATCAGACGGTACTCCAAAATCTAATAAACTCAAGCGTACAAATAAACTAAAATGAAAAATTTAAAGTGTTTGATGTTGAATGATAATTGTTCACGTGATCCAATAACAACAAACTAGAAGTAGCTAAAATCAACAACTTATCATGTATATATTTACTAAAAACATCCTGATTCTAGCTCAATAGATGAGTATGTATTTGAAAATTTGAAAAGTACTTATCTAGATTTTAAGAAATGAAACAACTGCTCAACATATCTTCCATAACTAACAGTTAATGGCACTTAAGATATTTTCAAATAACAGATCTACATATGCCACCAAAATAAGTGATGTAAGAATATAAAATAGATTTTTGAATAAATAAGGCAGCACACTAATATGAACAAAGAGTTTCATAAAAAAAAACTTCAAGTGATCTCTTTAGGTGATCAAGCTCCCTATCAAGATTGTCAATAGCCTGACTATATGCCTGAGTTTGAGAAGACTGGCTACTAGTGTGGATCTGCATGACACTAGAAGAGAGTTTGAACCACACAGACAAAATTTGTGTGGAAAAAATTTCAAATAATCTATCGAATATCACTCAATCATTGTATTATTTTGCATTATGAAAAACATGATGTGCATACAAGGAATAAATGATAGTAGTTGATTGAAGGACAAAATGAAAATAAGGACACAAGCATACCAAATACACTGAGAAAATCTATCAAATCCAAGCTGGGTAGTGACACAAGCGAGAATGACCCCCGATAACATATTCAATCCAATGGTATAATTGTGGCCCATCCGTTGTCATGAAAAAAGCTTTGTCAGCTTTGTCCGCATTTAATGTTTCATGAACTGCAATTACAACTTCATTGGAAATGTTTGGAATGCTGCAAAGCTTGGCCAAACATTCAACTGTGGTGAATGAAGAGTGACGGTCACAGCGCTGTTGAAATAGTTCCGTGTTTTTGTTAACTTCCTAAAGCAACACTTTTAAGTTTGATGTATCACTTCTTCTTTTAGAAGTTTGTTTGTTGCGATGGGCTCTTGGGTTCAATTGTTTGCTACCTCTCGATTGACTGGATGCTTCTTGCATGCTGATATCCGTGTCTAATTGAACGTCCGATTATGGACTTGGTACACCCAACTATCTACAAAGCTTACTCCATTTTTGGCCATAAATTCACAACAGGCCTATTAACTTGCTCAACTTTTGTCTCCTTTGGAGAGGAGTCAGGTTTGGAACCAATGACTCGAACACTGGTTGCAATATTTCTATTGCAAAGTCTTTTGAAAATATCATACTGGTGGAAAGGATTCCTCCGAGATAGTGTTTCAACTTTGGATCAGCTTACAAATATTATTTTAAATCAATCAAAATATTTAATATGAAAATAATTAATTTCAAATATACAACTAGTTTGATATCATAACTTTATAATTTCTTCCCAAGTTTCATCAGTCACTATCGGTAGGTGTTTATCTTCATACCAACCGAGTCATAACCATTGGTTCAGTATATGTGGTGTTTAATTGTCTATTCAACGCATCGACAATGACGACCCAATACCTCCTCATTCTGTCTTCTATCATATGTCCACATTCAAATTGTTTGAGTACCAACTCCGCAAGAACAATATTGTGTTCTTCAGGCCATGTTGGCAATCTAGTGTTACTTTCTTGCTTTCCGGTGTGGATGGAAATATTCTCATATGGGGATGGTTTTGAACTGGGGCAACCACAAATCTATTTTCCTTTTAGAAATTTCTTCATCGCTACATGATGTTCAACATCAACAAAATTATGTTCATAAAAAAACATCTATATGATCACTTTAAGTTTATAGATTGGTGAAGATGTAATACCGTTTTTTTTTTCTCTTATTTCTATAGTGTATCTGAGGTGTTGTATGTAACTGACATTTGATGATCCATGTTCGCTTAGAATGTCAATTTTTGTATTGTCATGGTCTTGTTTTTTATGAACAATTGTATGATCACATTTATCATTTGTAGTAGGATTGTCATTGCTCCCAAAGCATTACTCATATTCAGTTTGCCCTAGTTTAAAAAAAAAAAAACATCACTTAGGTTAAGCCACTATAAACATCTATTTTTAATGATCTTATAATTCAGTTTGTAACCCTACTACTACCAAACTAATTAAGCCAAAGAAGATGAATAAAGGAGTTGTGCGACAAGTATCTAAAATACATGATTTGATGGTTATGTTGGTTATAAATCAAAGTGGTTTACATATGTACAATAATATTTCTTATTTTGGAAGGAAACAAACTTTTCATGCTTTAGTTAACTTGTTTATTTAATTCATTTAGCATAATCATGATCAACTTTTCAAATAAGTGATTAAACTAACACTAACCTACGATAGCAAAATCATCAAATAACATATAGTTCATAAAAAGTTAATAATTTTCAAGTAGAAGTGGATTGTGTGAGATTAATCTTGAATTGGTAATTTGAATTGATTACACAATTAGTGGCTTCATAATAGACATGAGTTGATTAGTGGAACAAATATAAAAGATATGATAATAACATTAATTTTGAATTAAATATAGAAGATATGACAATATCATTAATTTTGAATTTGAATCTTAAATTCAAATTCAAAATTCAAAAATGTGTAGTCAATTCAAATAGGCGCGAATTGATGACACTTAATTCTCTTGCCTTTATTGTGTACGTTTCTTTTTTGTCTCGGTATGTCTTAGTTAGTATAAATTGGGTGTTGTGTTGCATTGTAAAACACCCCAGACTTGTATCTTTCCACTCCTTCAAAAATAATAAAAAGAGAATTCCCAAAAGTCCAATCTCATTTTTCGATTTGTCCTTTAGCGATCCATTAAATTGGAACCAACATTTGGTATCAGAGCCTAAGCCGAAGGACATGTCGTCACCGAGCAAAGCTATCATAGGAGATATGGCATCAACGAAGATCAGAAGAGAAGAGAACGTAACGCTTTCTTATCTGTTACTCACAAAGAGTAACTACTCGGTGTGGGCGTTGAAGATGCGTGTGAACCTACAAGCTCAAGGAGTGTGGGAAGCCGTGGAGCAAGACGAGGTCGAAGAGTGTAAGGATAGAATGACTCTCGCTGCCATCTATCAAGCGCTACCGGAGGACGTTCTTCTCATAGTGGCAGAGAAGGATTCCGCCAAGCTAGCATGGGAGACACTAAAGACGATGCACGTTGGCGTGGAGCGAGTCAAGGAGGCGAAAGTTAATCCGCATGAAGGACGGAGAGACGGTGAGGACTCACTTCGAGGCAATCCGCATGAAGGACGGATAGACGGTGGATGATTTTGCCATGAAATTGACGTCCATTGTGACAGGCATCCGCTCGTTGGGAGAGAAGATGGAGGAGATCTCCGTCGTCAAGAAGTTCCTTCGAGCCGTACCACAAAAATACATGCAGATCGTCACCGCGATCGAGCAATTCGGTGACCTCAAAAACATGACCGTCGAGGAGGTCGTCGGTCGTCTCAAAGTCCACAAAGAGAGGCTTCGCGGCTACGAAGACCAAGAGGA